CCCACTACCGGTAATACCGACAAATCGTCTCGTTGTGGTCCTCGAGCACGTGGTACAGGACGCTGGATGGCTCCAGAGCTGTTGGCGAGTGGGGATCAGTCGTCTGTGGCCTCGGATGTGTATGCTTTTGGCGTTGTTTTATCAGAGATCGACACGTGCGACTTGCCGTTCACTGAGCGAGAGAAACTGACAGCACGGTCCCACACCAGCGCTGGCGAAGGAAGCAGTGAAGACAGCGACTCGCGCTTGATGAACGAGAACATAATTGTCCACAAGATTGCAGCCGAAGGTTGGAAGCCTACGTTCCGCGTTACGTGTCCGGAGGTTATTAAAAAGCTGGCGCAGGACTGTTTGTTGCCAGACCCGAGCGCACGCCCAACGTCGCTTGCAGTGGCGCACCGACTCCGACAGGCTGCCACGAAGCGCGAGCGTCCAGAAGCTCTCGCCGCGCAGGCCAAAGCCACTACGTCGCTGCGTATCCGCTGAGCGCGTACATATTTAACCGCAAAGTTGCGGTGCAACACTATCAGCATATGAGCCTTGACACCACACAACGGGTTGTGGAGACTGCATAGGTTTTAAATTTTACCTTCTTCGATACTTACTTACCTCACTTTCAAAGTACTTTTTTGTATTGCAGCGAGCGGCGATCATAAATGTTGCCGGAATCTTGACTATCATGTATTTATGAGCGACACAGTTTGTATAAAGAATTGCATCGAAATGAAGAAAGCAACGCAAACAAGTTTGCGCTTTTGCTGCTGTGCCTGCATTAAATGTCTATGCTCCCGACATGTATACATGATTAGCGTCCTCAACACCGGGAGAAACTAACGAGGGAGGGCCCTCGCACAAAAAGTACACGATTGGGATAGGCAGAGGAGATAGTCAGTAAGTACCAGTATAATACCGGTTTAAATGGATGTAGACGAACTGCAGACGAACCACAAAAGGTTGTCAAAGACAAAGAGTTCATCAATGAGTAATACCGGCCCTCAACGTGTTGTCATCTTACAATCTGTGTACGCCTCGCATGACCTAGCTGAAGAAGCGCTGCATCAGTGGGCTAATGATCACGGGTTCAATCTTTCACGTCGCCGCGTTCGGTGCACAGACGACGCTGACAAGAAGGTGTGGGCATGGAACTATGAGTGCGATCGCTCCGGAGCCGTGAAGAACACTCAGCACTTGACCGAAGAGACCCGAACGCGCACCATGCGAGGTTCAAAACGCTCAGGATGTCCCATGCGCATTGCACTGCATGCTGTCAGCAAGGCAGAAACCGACGGGCCTTGAAAGATTGTTCACACGGCACGGAGCACTCACCATAACCACGAGCCGTCCCGGGACATTCGTGCTCATGCTGCTGTCAGGCGCCGTGCTGCTCAAAGATCTCAGGAACAAACGTCGGTGACCACGTCAGACCTGGTGGAACTCCAGACTGCAGCGGGGGCTGCTTCTTCGACCATTCAAGCCACGCTTATAAGTGCCGATCCGGACTCTCTCGTGATCGCCAAAGACATCGCCAGCACAAGAAGTGCTGTTCGTAGACGAGATCTGGCTTCTCATACAGCGATAGAAGCTCTATTCGTGGAGCTTCGAAAGCTCAAATTCTATCACAAGTGGCGCGTCAATCAAGAAACGAACGAGGTAACCCACCTTTTTTGGGCTCATCCCGACACCACTGAGCTCTTCATGCTTCACCATGATGTGTGATGGGCGCAGCGCCCCTCTCCGGACAGAGGGGAAAAACACAAACCCCTCCCCTCTTGGCGCCTATCCACATATTCCCTGGGCTTTTAGCGCGTGTATAATATCTTTTTTTGCCTTGGTAAAATTTTTCCCTCTTTGCTCAATGTTGGCTTCCTGGTGAAAAAAGAAAAAGACTTCGTTTGGGCTTTCAACATGCTACGTCGCTTCATGATTGAAAACGATATAGACCCTCCTAACGTCATTCTCAGTGATCGGGATCTTGCCTGTCTGAATTCACTGGACCGTGTTTTTCCGGGCGTGCCTTCGATGATATGCCACTGGCACATGAACAAGAACGTGGAAAGCATGACCAGAAAGCACTTAGGCCAAGTAGACGTCGAGAACCCAGCCCCGGGACAACCAAAAAAGGAGAATTATAGGGAAACCAATTCATTCATGGCTACGTTTTACGAAGCAGTGGAGGCAATCACAGAAGCAGAGTTTGAAGAAAAACGCAAGGTTCTTGCCTCAAGGAGCAACGTGGTGTCCCAGACTATCTGGATCTGCATTGGTGGAAGTACAAGTCGTGAATTGTGAGATACTGCACAAGCAAGTACAAACACTTCGGTGTCCGAGACACATCTACGGTCGAGGGAACGCATGCCAAGATCAAAGCCAGATTGAAATCAAACCAAGGCGACTTGTACACAGCTTTCAAGAAGCTGTGTAGCTGGTGGACAATTGCTGCTTCCGAAACAAGTGTGCTCATGGCTCAGCATGCAACGATTGCGCCTCAGTTGCTGCAAAAAAGCAGATACAATCGAGTTGTCAGGATTATCACGAGAAACGCTTTGAGAGACACAGAGAGGTTGTGGATGGATGCGGAGAAAATTGTTTCTGGTGGAATTGAACGTAGTCCTTGCTCCGGGGAGTTCCGTGCTGTCCATGGTCGCCCGTGTCTCCACGACCTTGTTGCAGTCATAGAGTCGAATAAAAGGAAGTACATCACCTCGGATCATTTCGACAAGCACTGGTGGATTTACCGCGACAATAGGACTACCCCTGCAAGAATTCAAGACCCTACTACACTGCAACAATGTAGGTCCAAGTAAAGCACGCGCAGAACGCGGATAGCAAACCAAGGTAGTCGAGGGACCGGCCGCGATCCGACATATAGTGAACGAATCGACAAAATCACCCGGCTACACCTCCAAGGTCCACTCTGTATGCCCCCCCCCCAGAATCCTCAAGTTTTTAAAACCCAAGCTGGTGATCAAGTACAGCCTTTCGAATCACCCTTTTCACCAGCGAAGCCGTGGGGGTAGAACCTTACTTAGATCAGAGAGAAAGAGAGGAATAGACGTCGTTCAAACACATTCGTAATTCCGTCAATACATTGTGGATGACACCAAACATCAAACCGCAGAGAAAACAGGTATTTTTTACATTAAAAAGCAGAATTGTAACGGGAACGCAGTACCAAAGTTGAAGAACTCGACCAATTAAAAACGAGTAAGCAATAATTTTGTCCAGTCAGGTGGCTTATCATCTTCCATTCATTTAAGCTACTCGTACGTGTCAATTCTAAGCGGAGTGCTCCCTCATCTTGTGGACTCGTAGCGCGCTCTGGTGCTTGAACACATCAGCGCACACCACACATTTGTACTCACCTTCCTCGAACTCACGTTTGCGCTTCTGTTTGTTCGCAGCCCCCTTGGGGTTCTTTTCGCAGTAGAAGCGGTGCTTCCGAATTGCTTGACCCTTCTCCACCTTTTTGCCGCAAAACATACACTCACCGTGTTCAGGAAGTGCGTCTTGAACGATATCTGGTGTCCATTTCAACCTGCGTAGGTAAGGTGGCAGTGAATGCGGTAGTTACTTGTGGTGTACGGCATTCCGTTGTGTATGAGGTCACCTCTGAAGAGAACAGCGAATCCAACCGGAATGTCCACAACGCGCGCCTTGAAGTTGTCTCTTGCAGTAAAGCAACCAGCATAGATGCGGAGCTTCGTGCCGGGCTCCAAAGCGAAAATCATGCTGGCTGGAACACCATCCGGGCGAAGGTTACGGGCTCTCACCAAGTCACTCTCTTGGTAGTCTTGGTGGGGCTCCTGTTCTGAGCCCCCAGGCATCGACGGCATGAAAGGGAAAACACCAGGCTCCCACCCAAGGTGCAGCATGGCGACAACCACCTTTAGAGCCTTGCTCAACTCCTGTAGAGGCGCTGACAGGGTGCGAGAGCTCACGCGCGATTGCTGTCGGAAGTTGTCGTCTTTACCACCCACGCGATTAAAGACACCATTGTACGGACGCGCTTTGGCTTCCGCTAGGAGCGACGGAACTACCGTATCAGGAAGCACAAGGCCCACAGGCAGATAGCCATGCGGAAGCAATGGCCCTGTTGGTAGTTTCTCCACTTGAGGCTTTGGAGATCTGAGAGTGGTAGATGTAACGGGAACGCGATTTGTAACGGGAACGCGATTGTAACGGAACGCG